GCTGGGTAAAGTTGGGTTGCAAATTATAACCTCCTATTTTCCCCAGCTTTTATTGGTGTGGCAATGTAGAGATTATAATCTAGTCCATGCCAGACTGTCCCCCACTGTCCCCCAGTCCTCCACTGTCCTCCAGCATACAGGTCCTGGTCACAGACATGTGGGTACCTGCAAAACATGATCATGTGGGCCGCTATGGTAGTAGTTTCGCCACTGGATCTAATGGTTTGCTTTAACACTGCTTCCAATGAAGCTGGGAAAAGGGTTGGGGTTATAATTACTCAGTGTAAAATAGGGAATATGGAAGGGGAGAATGATCTCTTTGGTGATCTGAGATAAAGTGGGCTATAGTCTCAGAGATTTCCAATTGCATTTATGATCTTGAGATGGTTATCATTTTATCTTCAAGCCCAGTGGTGTTTAATGAACTCGGGAAGGGTGATTGTCAGATACGTGGGAGCATTGTTGGACCATAGAAGATAATGAGCTAGCGGATTGTAGTGTCAAGGCATATTGGCTATCAAGGAAAAAATCAATTTGAGTAAAAAAAATATTAGCAGGAGATTGTAAAGCATAATCCAGAGTACTTGGATTGGAAAGTTGTCAAATATTACCAAAATGGTGTTTACAAAGGAGACTCTTAAGTCTATTTAATTAGGAATGAGAGAGAATGTTTCTGCCCAAGGAGGCATCTAAAGATTAATCTAACATGCCGTTTTAATCTCTAGGCAATAACGTCATGCCCTCTACAAACTCCATTAGATCTGTAATCAAGTATTGAATTAAAAAAGTGTAAATTGTGCAGCGCTAGAAAATAAAGTGCTTGATAATTTCGACCTGTTTGTATTGTGCTGAAAAATTCGTGATAAATAGGAGAGGTGGAGGAGTTTTTAATCTTATAGTTGGTTTTAATAATTCTAATCTATCTCTCTTCTGTACACATGTCTGTATTTTTCCTAACTCATTGGTATTATATCCTTTTTCCTTGAATCTTTTTACTAGGATCTCAGATTTTGACCCCAGGGTTGAGAGCGCTTTAATATCAGGGCTACGCATAAAGCGCGGATCCACATTTTTTACTATTGAATTAACAAAGCTTGACTGCAGCTATTGGTTGTCCAGTGCAGAGGAAATGCACAGCACTTTGGAAATAAACTGGTAAGGGCTGGTAATGATTAAAATTTTCGTGTTCGATTAATCGAATTTTTTTTTAATCGATTAATTTTGATTAATTATAACGCACATACAGATCCACTACACCCAGTGACATCGATGTCCGTGATGTCACCGGATCGCCGACAAGACTCCCGGAAGCTGGCGGAGAGGTGAGTGTTTTCATTAGCGATCAAAATAATTTTAATCGATCAAAAAGTTTAACGATTAATCGAGAAATTCATCTTTAATTTCCACAGCCCTAAAATAAACACAAAGGAGCAGAGAGAAGAAGATGGGACAGTTAAGAGGAGACAATACAGTAGGAAATGTTGTAAAGATGGGTAGTTAGATAAACTACAGAAACAATAAAAGGGGGAAAGGAAGCTGCCCATCAACTGGGTAAAAACAACTAACTAATAATTTGTTGCAAGTCATACAAAAGTAAGGGGCATATGAGGCCAGTGAACCATGCTGGAGTACTGCTTTGGCCAAAAGCTGGAATAGAAACAAAAAGAAAACAAAAGTTTCTTTATGGCATGAGAACCTCAAACCCACATATCCTGCAATACTCATTGTATTGTGGACCATAAACATATCAAAAACTCCAAGAGGCGAATGCTACCAGAGCAATAGAAATGCCATAGCAAAGACTAGGTCAATGGAATGGCAGTATACAATGTGCCTATGAGGTTATCAGAAAAGTGTTTCACAGTAACAAGTCTTGTTCAAGATTAATTAGCAGTACATAAGCAAACCTTAGGGAAGTAGCCATGAAGGGAACAGGCAGGAGGTCCCAAAAGTATTGGTGGTGGCTGTATGATGTGTGGATTTTGGATTGTATGCATTGAACTTTCCATTCTCTTTGTTTTATGACAAGCTCAATCCACTTTTTTGTACAAAATTCTGCTAAATGTTTCCATTCTTTTACCAGGTCATCGTCTAGGAAATCACATTGTTTCTTTACACGGAGGCAACAGGGAGACCAACAGTATTAACCAATACCACAGAACAAGTGGTTCATACATTGTCCTTATACAGCACTGTGTTTTTCCTCAAAGCCTGACAGTTGTGGATACATGTAATTATTTCACTACACTGTATCCATGTGAGTGCAACATTGCAACCATTTCCCCCCCCATTTAAACACTCTTTTATTGCGCTAGGTTGTGGTGCTCTTGTGTGTGTTTCTATTTTCCAGTTCTAACGCAGGACACCTCTACCTGCTTACAGAAGAGCAGCACGCCATCACCCCTCTCCCTTCTTTGGATTCAAACACAAAAAAAACTCAACTCCCTTCATCACCCATCCATCCGAATGCGCTTGGTACATAGTTGTAATGATATCACAATGATTGTCAACATTAGGGAGAGCATCCCAGGGATAAGACATCAACCTGCCCAAGAATGTAAATGGGTGAGAGAACATGAGTCTGCATGGTCCAAGTCCAACCAGGAAGACAGCAGTAAGCTATGAAGAAAAATGTAAACAATTGAAAGACAGGTGGCTCAGTATGATGTTGAGCAAAGAAAGTACTGTTAAAGGAACTCCTGTTTGCATTCAGCTTGTCCACGTTGGGTTGCAGCATGGATTCTGGAGATGAGAGCTGGAGGCAGGGTAGTCAATTGAGTCCAGTGCAGCAGATCTATCGCAAGGAGATCCAGATGTTGCAAGAATGTAAAATGACAGCTTTAAGGTTGTATTCAGGAGCTGCTCTACCAAACACAGCTTCAGCATTGTTCGTTTACATGACTTAGGGCCGTGTTCAGAAGAGCACTTGTGGGTTTAGATCTCATGACCAAGGTTTTTGGTTGGGTGGTATTGGGGATCTAAAACTTACAAAATTTACAGGAAGCAGAGTTTTTGGCTCCCCAAAAGCTTTAGAAATAGAATTATGTCAATTCTCCAATCCAAAAAGCTAATATATATATCTATATAACTGTGAGGCCCACCTAGTGCCCGTGAGAGATGCCAGAGCCGACAGATGCACTCTCAAGGTATTGTAACTTAATCCTAAATCCAACCCCCGTTGGAGGAACTCTAAGATCTTGCCTACCGAAGCGTCGAGGGGATGAAATCACCTCTCCATTGCAAACGCCTGAAATCTGGCCCATACCCGGGAATACACCGCATTCGTGGCTGGCTTCCTCGCCTATGCAGAGGGTCAATTCAACATGTTTTGTCCCAATCCAATGAAGGTCCTCAAATAGAAGAATATGACATTCCTGGAATTGTCAGCTTCTTCTAATTTTCCCCTACTTTTAACTCTGCATTATGCAAATGAAATCATAGTAGTAACAGTAGTAGTAAAGCACTATTCCATTGAAATATTTTTAAACAATCTGCTAGTTTTGATGACACGGTTACTTGCAAGGGCTGTAAACCCTTATAAACTCAGTTCACATTTTCATACTTGGTTTGGACAAAGTAAATAATGCATTGAAAGCAACAGGAATGACAGGACACAGGAGGTTATCTCAGTATATTAAACTTTCTTGTTAAATGTTTTGCAATTTGTTTAAGAAAGAAAGTTACTAATCCTAAGCTGAAAAAGAGTTTCAAGGAATAAAAAAAATGATCCATAGTAAGTACTACAGTCGCAGCACTTATATTAAATAAGGCAAATTATAAAAAACATTGTTAACCACTTCTAATAAGGTCATTTCATCGTTATTTCTTTCTTTCTGTAAGATAAATACATAATTCACTCTGTGTTTTGGTTTCTAGAGTAATTCTCTTAAAGAAATTAGATTGTACTATTACAGAGGAATGTTAAATAGCATTCACAGAGAAATGTCAAGTACAAGAAAAGTACAAGTACAAAAAGCGAATGTATTTTTTTCAAAGGAATTATTTTATTTTGAAGCCGCAATGTAAACATTTCTGTCATTTTGCATGGGTGTTTCTCAGAGTCCAGCTAGACTTTGGCAAAAGCTTTTAAAAGCACAGGCTAACGGTTATTTTTAAACATGCGCTAAAGAGGCTGTAAGTAAAATGAGGAATGAGTTTAAACATTAGTCATTGATAAGGATGAGGTTCGGGTTCGGGTTGACCATGAGTCCAACCCAAACTCTAACAGGTAAAAAAGTGGGCAGATTTTGCCTGTTTGCCCACCCACCAAGCTGCTGGCTGTTGCAGTTGGAAGTCACTCATTTAGTGGCAGTATCTCTACTGACACTAAATGGCAACTTCCCACTATGGGCCATGCCAGAGGCAACATCCAGTTGTTAGGATGGTGTTCCAGCCACCTACATCCTAACAACCAATTGTGTGGGCCGAATTCCTTAGTTGTTAGGATACAGGCAGTCGAAGCCACACAGCATCAATGGTTGTTATAGTGCTGCTAACACTATAACATAATAGTGAACAGAAATGTCCATGGACTGAAAACCCACTGTTTAAGGTCCTGTCCACTGGTGTCTAATAGGGAAAACAGTGGAGTTATGTGACATAAGTATGCTTGACTTTGTGAAAAAGGAATTAATGCTTTGTGGAATCAGAAGGAAATTTTCAATGTTGACTTTTTTGATCTGGTTTGGATACAAGTGAATATTAATTACAAGATAATAATCATTAATAGTCCTGAGTAACTATGGTTATCAAGTGTTGAAATATTGCATTTGTGAATGAGATTTTTTTAAGGTGACAACGTTTCATTAAAATGGCATCTTATGTCAGTGCAATTTACACTTGAAATAGAAAGTTATCTTAAATCATAAATTAACTTCTATCCATGGCTCAGTAATGCTTTCTACTAATCCTGTAAATCATTGCAGATCTCCTGGTGAAATTTCACCAATACTCCAGAATTGAACAAGCATTTACAATATAATTTGGCTAACAAATATGGTTTATGCTCTCATTTCAATCTTGAGGTTGAATGGCTTTGGTTTCATAGTCAATCCAAAAATAGATGTTAAGTCCACCATTTGTTCAGGCTCTTTCATTAGTTGGAGTTGTTGCAGTAAAGACGTGAGAATAATAAACATTTCATTCCGGGCCACCTCCTCTCCAACACATTTTCTGACTCCCATACCAAATATTAACACCTTCTCTACTCGGCTTTTATCAATATGTCCAGCTTCATCAAGGAACCTTTCTGGGATGAATAGGTCAGCATCTTTCCATACTGTCCTGCAAAATCAGACAAATAATTTTTTATTAGGGATGTTTATATACAGTTCAGATACCAGTGCCGATACTTGGCATTTTCACAAGAACTACAAGGGTTGCAGTGGATGCAGCTGGGACCTAGCTCTGGTGCTCCACCACTGTTCTGAAATCATTAGTTTGTATTGTTTTAGAAAAACCCATCACATGACACTAAACATTGTATCAGTAATTGTACCTGTGAGTACTTGGACAAGTACTTGTACTTGGTCTGGAAAAAATGGTATTGTTGCATCCCTAACATATATTTATATATATATGTCAGGGATGCACCTATACCAAGTACCATACTTGGTACAAGTACAATTACAGATACTTTTCGAGCTCCAAGACTAGACTAGAGAAAAATCCAAAAGTTAGGAGTCAGCTGTCATTTGTAAGGAGCACGCAGAGCTCCTGGCATTTCTACATCTCTGTTTTAATGTATGATTTTGTTTTTATAAATATATATAAAGTGATGCACCGATACCATTTTTGCAAGTACAAGTACTGATACATTTTTGTTTATTGTCATTTGACAGTTTTTCTAAAACAATATCAACTAATGATTTCAGGACAGTGGTGGAGCACCAGAGCTTGGTCCCAGCTGCAACCCTGGTAGTTCTCATGAAAATGCCAACTATCGGCACTGGTATATGAACTGGTATTGGTTCATTCCTAATACAGTATATAACAAATCATACATTACATCAAGGATGCACAAATCCCAGGAGCCCCATAGCCGATTCTCCTTAAAAATGACAGCTGCCTCCTAACTTTTGAGTTTTCTCTAGTCTAGTCTTGGAGCTGGAAAAGTATCTGTACTTGTACTTGTACCAATTATGGTACTTGGTATCTGAACATCTCTATTTTTTATTATAAAATTATTGTAAAATTACATTGATATACAATGGTAACAATAGTGTAAAATGATAAAAAAATTAAAGCTACTCTGCTACTTAACCTGTTAAAATCCAAAGAATAGCTTTGAGCAACTGAAGACTGTGAAAACTTATCTCGCTGGCACACTATGAGTCTGGAGGATGTCTGTCTTCCAATGCTGCAGGCTCCAGCAAAGTCTTTAGCACTCAACACTTCCAGGAATTTTCCTCTTCCTATCACCATTATGATGCTACAATGACACAGGGGCAGCAGGAGGAACCATAGCCAGCATTGTGCATATTCTGGAGTCCTCAAAGTTTTCAGACTGCTGGAGTGCCAGACTGTGGTCAGTGGAAGCGGAAAATGCTCTGGCATTAGTCAGAGTAAAAAAAAATGTCCCAGTAAATGGGGCTAAAAATGTGCCAAAGTTAGTGGGAGTAAAAACATGTTCTAGTGTTGGTAGTCAGTGGGAGTAAAAAATGCATAGTGAAAAAGGAATAGTGCCCATCATTGGTGTCAGTGGAAATAATAGTGCCAGATCATTGGTGTCATTGAGATGAATAGTGTCCCATTATTAATGTCATTGGAAGCCCTTTCCTTTGCATATGCTCTATCTCTATGTCCTGTGCATCTCTACTAAGCCAGATGACTTCATAGTGGGGACTATGCAGGCATTGTCAGGCAGGAAATTACAGCAGAGGCTAAGGTACATTTATGGGTGTTGGAGCACTCTATGTTCCGGCGCCTGGCATCCACTACTACTCTGCATGCTCTGGTTTTGTGGGGGCCTTGTCTTTAAAACGTTTTTGCTATTTACAACATTATCTGACAGGCCAGAAAAATGTCTTCAGAGGGTTGAATCCTGCCCGTGGCCCATAATTTGGGGACTAATGGGTTAATTACTTCAACAGGAACCATTGTGATTACATTTTAAAGTTTCACACACTTTGAAACTCTGAGTGTGTGTGGAAGCAATCCCTCTTCCATGCTTGTTGCCAACCATAAAGGTTCTGCACTGCCAGCACCCTGTGGGTAAACTGATGTTGGGCTGCAAGAAGAGCAATAGCTTGTTCTATCAAACTGAGTCATCACAAGGATATGTAATGACAACTCTGCCTGTCTTTATCCATTTTACATTGCCAATCTGCTTGTAGTCTGCATTCTGAAACACATGTATTTTTCATTTACGTTAAGAACAAATATTAAGGATTCCTGTACCTATGTAAGAAGGAATAAAGATTCAATAGCAATTTACAAAGACATCATATCCTTTTTAGTAATTTCATTGAATAAAACTTTACTTACGGGTCATGGTTTACTTGGTACATATTTACAAATATTGAAGTATTTTTTGGAAGAAAGTAATCATTCAGTGTTGTGTCCATGGTAGTACTAAATGAAAGAAGGAAGCATTAATGATAAAATATTTAATATTTAAACATTTTTAATATTTAAAATATTAAAATGATATAACCTTCTACTTAAAGTGGAATTGCAGACATGGAACACAACACTTTAATCCAGTATTGTACCCATTAAAATGATTAAAGGTATTTTAAATACAACTAGTAAAGTTGCCTTAGGCCCCGTTCCCACTGCGCGATATGCAAATCGCGCGTTTGTCGCACGATTTGCATATTGCGCGACATCGCGAGATTTGCAGCGCGATATCGCATTCAAGCTTGCATTGAGCAAGCTTGAATTGCGGCTAAATCCGCTCCAAAAAGGGTCCTGCTGTAGCGACACACGACCCGCGACAGCAGGACCCTTTGCCCCATTGAAATGCATTGGAGCGCGATATC